ATAAAGGGTCGAAAAGATCAGACGCATCATAAAACATGTTCGAGAATATGGAACATTATATAATCTTTGTGCTTGAACTAGATTATTATCAATAAACTTAATTTTTTCAATTTTTTCACCTTTTTTTACCCCTAAAAAACAAAAAGCGTCAATCGGGCTTATGTCACTTTTGAACTTGAGCCCAAGATGAGGGTTATTCTAAATTTTCATGCAAATCCATGCAGTTGCAAAGAATTCGGAGGTTACAGCTGATTTTCAGCTTCAGTCTTCAATCTTTGTCTTCATTATCATCGATCGCTATTTTTAGTAGGTCATCTCTTTTCAAAACTCCACAAACACCAATTAGTATGACCTGAAAAGTTGTCTAAAATTAGTTAATAGATCGATTTATATTAATTTGAATTACCTTTTCTAGCAGAAATCCGTTATTAGGTGCTTCTTGTACAAATTTTTCAATTTCCTCTTTCGTTTTGGTTGCCAGTGTTTGATGAATAAACGCACATTTTTTATGGAATCTGCGGTTGGCCAAGGTGTCCTCGCGACCGTTTTCAAACCGTTTATACCACTCGTGAACGCTACCAAGGGATAAACAATCATCACCATAAACTTGGTTCGTCAATTGAAACGTTTCGGTAAAAGCTTTACCAAGTTTAAAATGAAACTTAATGTTAGCTCTTTTAGATGCTCATTTTTGTGCCAATGACACCAACATACCGTCACTTCAGAGGCAATAGCTCAGTTTCTATTCGTCCAAATGTCGTGAAATTTTGAGAGTACATCGGTGAAGGATCTACCTTTCCGACTTATGTAAAATTGCTTATAGATAGCCTTCCTAGAAATACCTAAAAAGTTTTATTTACTTTGAAACATAGCTCGAGTCTAATTCGATTATATGGCGAATGCGCCAGTGTTATTCAATTAAATTTACCTCTGTCCTAAGTTGTTTGGTTTAGCCTCTAGAGTTCTAGAGGGCAACAATGTTGACAAAAAAATTATTTTTTCCAAATAACTTTGAAACGTCTTATAAGATTTTATTGAAATTTGGTACATTAATGCTTCCATATACAGGGTGTTACCTAGCGAATGTTTCATACTTCTAGGGTATAATCTAGAACCCAAATGGTGTCGATTTAACCAAACTTGCTTAAACGAAAAATGCCGCAAAAAAGTTACAAGGTGTTAAAGTTTCTTTTTTATTTTTTGTTTTCTCCTTAACTCGGAACCCAGTTAACCGATTTGAGTAAAATTTGCTGTTGCTTAGATTCTTTTCATGAAGTATGCAGTGAGTATGTTCCTATTACGTTCCTCATACAGGGCGTTATTTTTACTACAACCCTTTTTGAATATTCTCCTGTAACTTTTTTGTACGTTTAAATTTTTACACGTAACTATCAGAAATAGGTAGAGATCTTTATTCTACACAAAAATAAATGCCTATGAAGATATTACAGAAAATATTTATTAACAGATACCCCCATATTTTTTGGATATTACCACGTATCCATAATAAACATAATAAATAACATAATTAATAACATAAAAAATTAATTATCTAGTAATGGGGTCGCTGAATCCGAATATAGGTCTCGCATGACTCTGCAAGATCACCTAGAGGTCAAACCAGAAATAAATGATCAGAAAAATCGGTAAAGAAACATGTGACGATTTTTGTGATCGTTGAATCCGAGTATGGGTTTCGCTTGGCCCTTAGAAATTCTTGTAACTCACTTAGAGATCGTTTCAAGATCGTTTGTGTGTGTGTGTGTGTGTTTGTGTGTGTGTGGATTTGGGGGTGTGTATGTGCGTACATATAGAATCAGATGTATTTATCGATAAAACGTTGATATTATTTCTAGATTTATAAAAGAATCCTTTATTTTATGCAAACAAAACAAAAAAAGGAGAAACACTTGCTCACACTCATGCTCTTACACACAAACACACACGCGCGCGCGCGCACACACACACACACACACAAACGATCTTGAAACGATCTCTAAGTGAATTGCAGAATCTTAAGGGCCCCATATTCTTTAAATAGTGTTTTCCGCAAAGACAAATAATTTCAAACATTTAATAACTGAATAATCTAAAGCTTATCAAATAATAGGAATGTTATGTCATGCCACCTGAGTATTTTCAAAGACGCCGCAGTAAAACGAATAAACAGGTGCAAAAAACGATCAAACCATTAAGGTTTTAGGTACTGAAATCTACGAAAATACTATC